CTAGACTTAAGTAGTAGTTTCCCTTCCTCAACTAAAGCAGCCATTGAAGATCTATTTGACGTGTCATCCAGTGGCGGAGGCAGAACTTTTCTGGAGCCTGGGCAAGTTTGAGCCTTAGGTGAAAGAAAATTGGGTGTTTGGAAATACAACATATAAAATGACACCAAATTTCTGAACCAGAAATCTATTAATATTTTATGTGTTGGATATTAGGAGAATACTAACAATTTTTTGTCTTTCTTGGAACATGCTCAATCTCATTTGGATTGAACTAATCGGCAACGTTAGGTGGTGGCTGTGGCTCTACTTCTGTTTCCGATTACACTTTATTCACATTTGGAGTGATTGGTCTATTAACCCAAAACCTCCTCATCTCCGAATTATATAATTTAAAATTTGAAGTTAACATCAACTATCTAGAACAAATCTTTAGACAAAAGACTACAATCACGAAGGATCGTCACCAGGACCAATTACCCACACCCTGACCTCAAAATAAGCCCTTACAAGTCTCGCTTTCTTAAAATCAGTTAGCAATCTCATCTAATCTATACCTCTATACCTACTAATAAAGCAAGGTGATATTCTTGGTTTCGTCCCGCTGAATGATTTTATCTTCTACTAAAAAGATATACGCGAGGTGGTACTAATTCCGGAACATATATATCTTATTCGGCGACGTGGATTGCCGAGCGTACACGCCTGGGCTGGAGTGAGGCGTTTGGCGGGATGGGCCAAGTCCGTTCGGCCCATAGCCTGCAAGAGCTCTCACTTTCATCCAAGCATGACTCCATCTCCTCATAAAATCAAATTAGAGCTCGACTCCAAATTTCGTTCATTGTGTGTCCGTGTGTGTAGGGGACACTCCCATTAGAGAACGACTTATACACCTGGGAAACTGATCCCTAATTTTTGCATATAAGATATAACTACGATACTTAATCGCTGCTACGAGAATAAACACATAGCTAATCCTTTTGATTTCCTCCTCATATCACAGGAACTCGCTGATGCCGCCCACCGCCAGCAAATCCAGGAGCCTGGTCCACTCCATCGACATTGTAGACAGCCAAGCTACTGTCACGCCGTGACAGCACTAACTGTGCCGCAGAAACTCACAAATGCCGTCGGGCGTGCCATCCTCTGGCAGCAAGTCTAGGAACCTGATGCTCTTCCTCGGCCCCACCAACAGCCGGACCATCGTCAATTGTGTCGGCATTAGCCAGTCCAGCATGAACACTGCCGTCCGCTGCTTTGGTCGTAAAGAAAAACGAATCGAGTCCCCACAGCAACGAGGAGGGCAAAGACGCTCCTGTGGGCCCACATGGAGGTGAACGAAGCCGTCGAAGCGGCCAAGGCGCCGCTGCTACAATTGTCGCGACAAAAGTAGGGGCGATCGCATAGATTTAGTTCGTCAACCTCGATTATTATTTGCGATTCTTCGGATCTGTGAGAGGTAGATTGGTTCGCCCTGGTTTTCCCAGGGGATGTTGGCCAATCAGGAATTACTGGGTATCTATATCATTTATTTACTTATGGTGGAAAATTGTTCTGCATAACAGTAGTTCTTGTGCCCCTTAGTGTATTTGTTCACATCTGTGGTCATGTATGCCCCTTGAGAAGATGTGAGTTATCAGAAGCCACGTAGTTCTTAGCTTTTGTTGCATCATTCTTCTGGATAGTGAATAAAATGGCGTACCTTTTAGATTACTTCTTCATCAACTTATGTTCCACCATACAATGATACCATGGAAAAATAGCTATGTATAGTGCCGCTATAAATTTCAACAGGTACGGGTGCATGTATTTTTTTTGTTTTTTTATCCGTTGCAACGCACGGGCCTTTTTGCTAGTTATGAAGAAAGGGATAAGCCGGCTATGATGCAAGTCATTCCTCGGAGTATCGGACGGGTCCGCTACGGCTCCACCAGCTGCTAGGCACGCACCCATGCTAGCCTCCACTCGCGGCTGATCCATCTCCATTTCTCAAATCAACCAAGGATTGTGCCATCTTGAACGGGAATAGCCAAACAGGCAGGGTCGCGGAGGGGTGGAGCGATTGACCGATTGTGTCTCATCTCGAGTAAACGAGTTTTGCTACACCTACATGTAATTACGAAGTGGAGGGAGTTAGGGAGCGATTTGGCAGCGTTTAATTGGACACTAATGAGGCGGTCGGCCCACCCTGAAATTTAGAGGAGGCGTTTGGTTAGTGTGGAAGTAAGTTTCGTCCGTTCCAAATAAATTTGAGCAAAAACCACGACATTTATTTTGGATCAGAAGGAGTAAAAAGCTTACGTTCTTTTAGAGAGAGTAAAAAGCTTTTTGTTTTTTTGTTTTGTTCATTCCAAAATAAGTGTCATGCTTTTAGTTTAAATTTGGGTTGAAAGTACGACAGTTGTTTTGGAATGGAGGGAGTAAAAAGCTTACTTTTTTTGAGAGAGTAAAAAGCTCTGGTAGGTCTAGCATTTTTCGGTAAAGAAAGCAACAGCCGATGAGCCAAACCACATGTCATACGTAGCCCATTACAGAAGGAAACACGCAAGTAAACCATAATTAACCCATTAATCTATTGTATTAGTCCAGCTACTACTACACTAGTAGGCCTTCTCGTTTCATGAACTGAGCAAACGGAAGCTCATTCGGCCACTTCTGCCCAGGTAAACCACGGTGGGATGACAACTTTTCCCGTTGTGACATGGCCATCGCTAGCTTGCATGTAGCTAGTGAGCCCGGGCAAGTGCCCAGGCTAGCCGGGCGTTGGCTCCGCCACTGGTGTCATCCATAAGCATTTAAGCAGCTACATAATAGTCTGTTTCGATGATGAAACGCTTTGTGCTCCACTCCAAGGCGAGTGCAATGCCTTCTGCACGTGCTGAAACTTCCGCTTCAAGGGCGCTAGAACATCCTTTTCCAAAGAAAAGGGCGCTAGAACATGTACGAAGAAAACGACATGATGCAAAGACGATATGTCCCTCACGGTTCCACAGTATCATACCGGCTCCTCCCGTCCCGTCCTCCTCCCTGAAGGCTCCGTCTGTATTCAGCTTGTTCCAGCCTGCCGGTGGCCAGTTCCATCTTTTACATGTACTTGCATCTTTTACTTGCACTGGTTGGCATGCATGGCTATGTCTGTCCTGATACACCACCATCTTCCCCTTCTCAAAATTTGCTACTACCTTTCTCTTAGTTTACAGGGCGTGCGCGTGCCCTTAGGTCGTTAATTTGACCAACTTAATACAAGTCATATATTACAAAAAATATACCAATATAAACTTCAAATGCTCTATTTTCAAACCGTATAATTTTTGTGTTATATAGTTTATATTAAGGTGATAAAATTGACAACCTAGGTATACGCGTAAAACTTATAAATTGAAACGGAGGTAGTACATGATTCTGCTTTAAGCACAAGAGCGACATCATATAACTATTCAAAAATTGACAGGATGTAGCAATGGAAGTCACCGTCTTGTGGTGTCAGCTCGTTGTGTATATATGCCATAGTGTCATCAATACAGGAAGTCGTTCCTCCTCACTGCTCTTGTTGAGAAGATGCAGCAACCACTCCCCTCCTATATGCTCGATGTTTTCCAGCTGGGGCATCCTCCAATATTCACTCATCGCACGCCGGAGTCCTTGGGCCATCGGACATCTAAAAAAGCGTGGAAAGTATCCTCGTGTTTCACATCACAGATTGTGCATATGTCAAAAGTCTTGATCTTTCTCTACAAGAGTAGTAGTATGAGGCAAGAGCATGACTTGAACTAACCAATTTTCTGGCAAAGAAAAAAGACATGAACTTGGAGGCAAGGCAAACAAATCCATATGACACGGTGACAAGCCAAGAAAGGAAGCGAGCTCTCCACTCAAGACTCCAGTGAATGCAGTGCAGTAAAGGAGTATCATCGACTAGCTCGTCCGCCGCTGGCCTCCCCTCCCCTCCCCTCCCTCGCCCCGTTCCTCCAGTTCCCCTCCCCTTCCTTAGCGTAGGCACGCGCGCAGCTTGGCGCGGCGGCCGACGGCCGACGGCCAGCGCGCAAGGCCGGAAGGGCAGGAGGTAACCCCATCTCCTCCCTCCTTTCCCCCCTCTCCTCTCCTCCTAAATTCTTGATTGAAACCCTTGGCTTGTTAGATGCAATTAGTTTCTCTCACTCAAATCGAGGGTGAGCGGGGAATGGATCTGCGGTAGCGGCGACCTCGTCGGCTTGGGCGTCGCGTCCGGCCGGTTCTTGATGGGGACGAGGGTGTGAGGCGGGGGAGGGACGGGCTACTTGCGAGGAGGAAGAGGCGGCGGCGGCGGGAGTACGCCTGCGGCGCCGCGCTCTACTCCGTGCACGAGGGATGGCCAACTCCAAAGCTGTCACATTTTTTAAAGCATCCCTAAGGCCCAGTGCAAATAAACTACACGATGCTAAAATTTAGCATTGCCATCACACTTTTTTTTTGTTGGCTCAAAAAAATCACAAATTTTTTATAAGAAAGAAAGAATCCCTAAGATTAGGTGTCCGGCAGCGTGAAGAGGACACAGCCAGGCAGCAATCACACGGTTGTTGAAAATCCAGAAATAGAACTCTTCACAGGGCACATATATATATATAAAGGAGGACTAGAAGATATACTCAAGAGCATCCCTAAGATTAAACAGTTTTGCATATACAATTCTCTTTCATCTACTACTAAGACATGCGACTGTAAATAATCAGCTAATAATTTTTACTTGCACCAGCCTCCATACATTCGTTGTGCATAGTGTTGCTTTGGAATAGATACTCTGTTCACTGGACCAGAAGGTAATGCAAGCTAATAAGCGGGCCTTTGCAGTTACGGGCTCTTTCCTTCAGTACATAAAACACTGAAAAAAACTGTTTAACATTCTTTTACACTTGATGCTTGGGTCCCCAAGCTGATTCATGCATTGCTCTGTCATTCTCATGCACATTTACATGTTATTCACTGCTTGCAGGTGGTGGAACTTCTTTCTTGGATCCGTTAAAGCAATGGGATTGTCAAGTAACTGTGCTAAGACAATCAAGATCCAGCAGTGTGTGAAATTGCCTGATTCCAAATATCTTGTAAGAACGACACCACTGTTACTGCTGTTGTGTTGTCCATCTTAAATTCTGATATATCCTTCCGTGACGACCCCCACTTTGGTTATGCAGCACATCAACGATGAGCTTGCTGGGTGCTTTGGTACCGAAGATCATGGCGACGGGCGGACGGCCCTCGTTCTCAGTCCGTTCGGCAAGAATGTCTGGCCTGTCAAGGTCGACCGAGACGCCAAAGGGGCATTCCTGGGTGATGGGTGGCCACAGTTTGTTGCCGCGCACGGTATCGGCGTTGGCTGGTACTTGGTGATCCGGCATGAAGGGTGCGGCGTGCTCACTCTAAAGGCGTTCGACGCCAGCTTTGTCATTAAAGAGTTCGGCCTGACTATCACTGGTGTGTTTGGACTTTCACAGTTACTCGTACTTTCGGCCTAAAAATTCATAGCTAATTCACTCTTGTTCATGTTTAGTTTTGAGCCCAGCCGAGATTGAGAACGCCTTTGCTCGTAAGCCACAGTTCATCGTGCCACTCCAGAGAAGTTTCATGGAAAAGATGGTTTGCTTACTTTTCTTGTTTAAATGTTCAGAACCAAGTTATTAAGTGCACCATCATTAAGCTGCTGAGTATGTTCACTCCATTATGCTGTTTCATCTGTCCTCGCAGCCTATTCCTCCCGAGTTTCTGCAACGAGGATACATCTCGGAAGAAGACCTGAACAGACCGAGACCGATCGCCACTTTTTTAACATCCTGGCATATCGAGCTCAAGAAGGATGGCCCGAATGTCTTCTTCACTGGTTCCGAATGGCCAAAGTTTCTGGCCTACTTTGAAATTGCTGAAACTGATGTCCTGCTGATCAAGTATCAGGGGTGCATGAACTTCTCATTCGAGACCTTCCAAAATGGGAATAATGAGCACATCGAGGAAAAAACAAGCTCGTCTCAGCAAAGCGAGCAATGTGAGTAAACAATTTTTTCTGAAAAATTATATCTTGGCAATAGATTTAATTGATCACTACCATTGTCCTCTTAGCACCTGCAGCACAATGCCAAGAGGAAGAACATGTTTCCACTCGGAGAAGGACACAAAACAATGGCAAAAGTATGAAACAAGCTTCAACTTTTCTGAAAAACTATATCTTGGTAATATATTAAATTGATTACTACCATTGTCTTCTTAGTACCTGGAGCACAAAGCCAAGAGGAAGAACATGTTTCCACTCGGACAAGGAAACAAAGCAATGGCAAAAGTATGAAACAAGCCTCATCTCTCTACACTTATAAAAAACAGAGTTGGTGATGATGGTGTGCCTGCCATCCTGCAATATAGGCCGTCCGATTTATATTTGACGGATAGGAAGGAAACTCTGACAATTTTGCAAAAAGATACCCACACCCCTCTTCACATTTGCATATAAAGACTTCCCTTGTTCATCCTTTTCTCTCACAAGATAAACTACTCATACAAATTTATCTTGATGTTCCGTGCAACGCACGGGCATCTTGCTAGTTTTCTGAAAAACTATATCTTGGTAATATATTAAATTGATTACTACCATTGTCCTCTTAGCACCTGGAGCACAAAGCCAAGAAGAAGAACCTGTGTCCACTCGGACAAGGAAACAAAGCAATGGCAAAAGTATGAAACAAGCCTCAACTTTTCTGAAAAACTATATATCTTGGTAATAGATTAAATTGATTACTACCATTGTCCTCTTAGCACCTGGAGCACAAAGCCAAGAGGAAGAACATGTTTGCAGCCGGAAAAGGAAACAAAGCGAAGTCAAAAGCATGCTAGACGGATCCACAACTTCACAGCACCGAAAGAAGGCTCTCTGCGAGCTTGGGTCGACGGGGTCGCAGGCTTGGTTAAGGAAGGAGATCAACGAACTCGCGCTTAAAAGATATCTTGTAAGTACTTGACATGCCAGTTTATTATCAACTGAGCAAATTAGGAACTTGTTTGAAAAAAGAAAGTAAGAAATAAGAGTGCACCATTTGGAAATAAGGGAACCAACCAACCAATCAAACTACTTGACATGCCAGTGTATTATCAACTCGGTGCATAATATTTGTCATCATACACCCACGAACTGTGATACAAATAACCCGTGCGATCGCAATGGCTTGCAGCATTTTCCAGCGCGCTTTGGATTCCTGGAGCGTTGCAAGATCACGCTCAAGTCCGTGGAGAGGAACAAGTCTTGGGAGGTGGAAGGTGTCAACTACCATCCAGGCACCAGCAGGTCCTATAATTGTCTTACGAGAGGCTGGAAGGCCTTCTGTAAGGAGAACGAGCTCAAGGCAGGAGACATCTGCACCTTCAAAGTCGTCAACAGCACGCTGTGGCATGTTGTCATCGACCACTGCTAGAAATACGGTTCATAGATGATCATGGCTGATGGCGGACCTGCTGGTTTTGCAAACCTAAGTAGTATCATGATGAATATTGTGGTGACATGATAATCCACAGCTGGTGTTGGTTTCTGGCTTTTGGACATGATAACCTGCTAGGAGTTTGTGTTCCATGACTTGTGATTAGGTGGTTGGCTTGTCAAGGCATGATATTTAACCTGCTAGGAGTTGGTTTTATCGCTGTAATGCAGCAGTGCGCTATATTTATTGTTTAGCCTCAGTGCTCCTATTAGTCTATTATTACTCATTCACATAAGTCTCCTTTATCTTTGTCCAAGTATACAAAAAATGAGGGTTAACCTCGTCGCCGGGGAAAATGGTTAATGTGCTGCCACTACCGGTAGTTTTCTGCATAAAAATTATAACTCATACTGGTTTTGTAGAGGAATCTTGTATCTTTCATCTAGTAAGACTAGCTATTTCTAACCCCCTTTATTTTTTCCCAAGAATTAACTGCTCCTAAGAATTAATCCAGAATTGCTACATTTATTTCTCACTCTTCCGCTTTCAAGATTATACATGATACAATGGAATTTTGTTCCCATTGCAAACCGAAATTCGCTTCGAATGGCGCACAATGAGATCATTGATACGTTTATTTTGGTCCAGCCATGGCCAAACATTGCCTGGTATGTTCTGGGCCAATTTAAGCTAACCTCTGAACATTGCATTGTGTGTGCTGTTCTGAAGAGAAATCCGACATGAGCAGAGGCTGCTAGTTTGCTACTCCCTCCATTCCAAAATATAGTGTGCACGCGCTTCCCGAGGTTCAACTTTGACCATAAATTTAACAAACGAGAAAAAATATATAATTGAAAACTTTTTTGAATACGAATTTACTGGTATAACTTTTGCTTCCGCCGCAGTCGGTCTCGTTGGTTAAATTTATGATCAAAGTTGAAGCACGAAAATAGAGGAAGCACTATATTTTGAAACGGAGGGAGTACTAATTATTACTCCGAGCAGAAGTTGTGACGACGTGGAGAGCAACCTGAGGAGGACGACACGGGCAGAACCTTGCGTGCAAAGAGCTCGCTGTAAACTGTAAAGGACCACAAAGACCTCAACAGCTCTACCAGGCTCACCATTGCGGACATGGCAAATGATTCTTGCTAGGCATTGCGGGCCATCTCTGCTCGGCCGAATTTGCTACACTAGTTTGCTTCGACGGAGATCGCTGCTCACCGAAGGAAGCCTCCAATGCGCGTGGCGACGGCAATAACCAAGCAGCCACCATCAATTGTTGTATTTATGTCATCATTCTCGTTCTTTTCTTCCGTCATCTTTCCTCTTTCTTTCTTTTTTCTTTTTTCCCTTTTTCTTGTTTCCATTTTTCTCTTCTTTTTCAAATGCCTTTGTTCCGTTTTTATTTTCCTTTTTTTTTCTTTTTCCTGTTCCTTTTTGTTCATCCTTTTCTTTTGCAATGTGCAAACCTCTTTAGTTTTATTTTTTAAAACAAATAAATGAGCTTTTTTGAAAGTCGTTGAACTTCATTCAAAATCAATGAGCCTTTTTTAAAAAAATTGATGAAGATTGAATTTTTCAAAGTTGATGATTTTTTCTTTTGGAAAATCGATGGACTTTTAAAAAAATTGTTAAACTTTTTTGCAAAATCGTTGAACTTTTTTAAAAATTCTTCAACTTTTTCAAAATTTGTTAACTTTTTTCAAATCTATGATTTTTTTTCCAAAATTCGTCATTTTTTTAATTCATGGTATTTTTAATTTGTGAACATTTTGCAAATCTACCAAAATGTTCAAATCCATGAACTTATCCAAAAAGATGAACTATTTTTTAATGTCAACGGTCAAAGGTGAAACATGTCAATGGTCAACCTTTTGTCTAGGTCAACCATAAAGAAGTTTTTTCGGTCGAACCATGAAGAAGCGATCAGGCGTATGCTCTTGATGAGTGATCAACCATGACATGCATTGAATGAGTAAAATGAAAAGGTAATCAAATGCCAGAACCGACGGGTGCCTGAGTTGGTCGGGTTACTCGATGCTAGAACCAATAAAGGTTCAAAATTCTAATTTTGTTCACTTTCCAAAAAAATTATCATGTTAAAAAAAGTTCTCCATATTGAAGAAAAATGTTCACCATGCATTGGAAAAAATATTCACTATGTATAAGAACATGTTCATCGTATATAGCAATTTTGTTTAGCGTGCATTTCAAAAAGTTCACCATGTATTTGAAAAATGTTTGTTTTCTATTTGAATAAAGTTCACCGGATACAGCGTGCTCTCATATGGAGCCTTGTGGCCACCTGGGCACTCTCTGTTAAAAATGTTGTTTGTTTTGTCTTCCATGTCAGGTTTTAAGTAAAAAAGCATTTACAATTATTATCTAAAAAATTGACCAATTTTAAAACAATAATAAAGTTCAAAAAGCAGAAAAAAGAATTAACAGAAAAACAAAAAATATAAAAGAAAAAAATGCTTAGGCTTTGGCCCAACTAGGCGACAACATCGCTCCTGTCAGGCACATGTTAGGCCTGCCTAAGCGTTCGTGGATTTTAAAAAGTTCATCCATTTTTAGAAAAATGTTCACAGATATGAAAATTTTCATTGATTTTCAAAAACGAAGTTCACTAAAGAAAGATGCAAAAAAAAATGTTCCTGCTTTTGGGAACCTCAGCTTGCCAGCCGGTTTTTGAAAAACAAATCATCGATTTTGAAAAAAAATCTATATGAAAAAAGTTCATCAATTTTGAAAAAGGTTCGTGTATTTGAAAAAATTCACGATTTTTTTAAAAAAACTAAGGATTCAAAAAATTCACAGATTTGGAAAATATTTCGTATAATCAAGAAAATTTCACGAAATTTAAAAAAGAAAAAGAAAATAATTAAAACGAGAAAAAACAGATGAAAACTCGGCCAAAACAAAAGAAAGAAGAACCACTGACTATTATAAAGAGAGCTTTTGTACCTCTAAATATCACAAATGCTAACCTGGCCTGCTGGTCACGTTGGTGTACAGTCTAGCAGGAGGTCTCTAGTTCTAACCTTACACTTTAAAAAATTGATGAAACTTTAAGTGAAGAGAAAAAAAGATGAACATATGGGCCTAATACGTATATACATATGGGCGAACGACTCGTTATACATACGAAAGAGTGGAAGGTCCATATTACCCTTTTATACAGTTTGTATGGGGGGTCTACCGAAGTACCAATTCAACCGTTTTTCCTCAGCCAGGCTCATGACATGCAGGGGAGGGAAGCGTGAAGCGTGGCGTCGAGCTCATGCGAGCATGGAGATGGTGCGAGCTCGCATGCATTCCCGAAAAGCAACGGGAGGAATTGGGCACCTCCACCGATTTGTTCGCCTTATTTAGCGCTCACAGCCGAACCATCTTCGTAGACGACGGCGATGATTCTTCTTCTTCCTCTTTTCCGACATGTTCCACGCCTTCACCCCTACTCCATCAAGGGAAGAGGAACAAAATGAAATGACATCCTTTCATGTCCACGTTAGTGCTTAACAAGATGACATCATATCTAATGAAGCGAGAACTGACAAGGGCTTCAAGCAGGTACACCTCAACATTGTTGCCACGAAGATCTTTGAATATTGTGGCCAAGAGGTGACTTCAACCCAAGTCTACAACAACCTCAATAAGTGGAGAGCTAGATGGATCTATGTGACCAAGCTCAGAGACCTTAGTGGCGCACAATGAGATCAGGACACCTTCACACCCTGTTGGAGATAAAGCACTGCCAAGGCCACACCATAGTTACCTAACATGTGACTTCTTAGACTTGTTTAGCTTCTCTAACAAGTCAATCACAACTAACAACAATGTCTCTTTCTTTACTAGGACCATCCCAAGGACGTTGAGTTTCTCAACACTCCCATCAAGAACTACTCATAGATGCAGACCATCTTGGCGTGGGGTCTTGCTACCGCCAAGCATGCCCATGGGCTGTACTGAGCCTCTCGATTCGGCCATGCCTACGCCAGACACACAAGAGTCAAAGACTGTCATATTTGATGGCCCTAACAAGAATGGTGCTACTAATCATGGTCCTGCTCCTGTGAGGAAGATGGGCGACTTGATGAAAGAGGAGTTCAGCGTCTTTAGCAGCATGACCGAGGCCATCAAGGAGGTGGTAACACCATCAAGGAGAGCAAGCATGTTGACATCCACCCTTCCCTGTACAACATCACCATGGACATGGCTGGCTTCAGTTAGGAAACTCTGATGGTGGTTCTTAGCCACCTGTTAGATAATAGGGCACATGCCATTGGGTTTGTTGGCATGGGGGCTGAACATGTGGTCCTCTGTCTTAGGATCTGGCTAGGCGAGCACTAGTACTAGTGCTTACCACTGCAGGGAAAAGACATATAGGTGGCCTTAAATTAGTGGTGGGTAACAAAAAGAACCCGCCACCACAATGGAACCATCACTGGTGGGCGGAAATACTTAATCGCCACAAGCAAACTCTTCCAAATTTGCCTGCATGATGAAATCTAACAGTGAGGGGTGCACAAAATCGCCCGCCACAAATAAATTTTGGAAACCTGCACAAAGAAATCAAATATCCAGAAGTTAGTTGCGGTGGGCCATAGTAGCCACCCGCCACACATAAGTTAGCTGTGACGGGCCATAGTAACCAACTGCCACACATAAAAGCGGTTTGTACAAGATGTGCACCGAATTTTTGTTGTAACGATCTCAAATTTTTACCACACCTTAGATGTGTCCAATGAAGATAGCATGCAAAGCTTCATCGGAGCCTGTGTGCCGCTATGAGAGAGTTATGCCCTATATAGTTGCCGGAAAGTCAATTAATGCCTCCAAAATAGAAAACCAACTCAAAAAGTGCTCAAATTTGATCATGGGGCTTTGGATGGGGTGTAGTAATCATAGAAAAGAGGTTAAAATGGTTTAGAAAAATGTTCTTGTGTGTGTAAGGCGGCGATTTTCGTTCAAAACCCCGACACTTTGTGGGA